AAAAACTCTAATAACATGATCATATTCCACTATGAAAAATAATAAATACTATACTCTGATGTTGTATTAAAAGTGATATAAGAAATAGTTAATAATGATGTAAGCTTTATTCTCTTATTTGTGATCCTGATGGAAAAATATGGATTTTTGGGTTCTCCCTTGGGGTGTGCCCGACGGAACTGTGTAATTTAGTGTTCTCCCTTGAGTGCTTAGTGTCTAATGAAAGACAAGCACTTCTGGGAGGCATTAGATTAGGCGGTTCTATCACAGGTGGTATCAGAGCATAAATGAGGAAATAAAGCTTCGAAAACCTTTTCTAAAATAAAATTTGACAACCAATTCTTTTGAAAACGTTAGGGCATTCAACTGTGAAGTTATATACGTAGCTCTATTACTATGGTTATCTATCTAGGATAGATGGCACTCTACTAACTTAGGTAGGATTAATTATTTTTTCTGCAGGTACACAGACCCTGAGCATAGTCTGATAGTATCGACTAGTTACAGGGAGAGAATGCTGTGCCAAAAATCTAAGAACGGCTACCCTATATGTTGGCAACAGTGGAAGGACATATAGGATGTGCATTCATGCATATCTTGTTTGTGCATTGTAGTGCCCGTATTATTTGCAGATACACCATCCATAGGTGTCACACGTGTCGTATTGTGCACGACTGACTCGTTCCTGTTTTGGAGTTATTTCTGCACTATGGCTTCGTGCTTCGCATTCGCCTATGGTTCACGCCTGTCGTGACCCACGTCTCCTCATACTCTTTTCTATGCTCTTGTCGGACCCTTGCCCTGCAGTCATAGTTAGTAATGGCCTCGGACATCGCTCGCCTTGAACGCACGAAAAATTGGCCGATTCATTCATAGCGATCCTGTGTAGGAACCTAGCTAGACTGCGTCAGGACCACTGACTGCTCTGCCTTTATAAGCAGGGCCTGGCTTAGCAATTGGTACCACCACTTAGCGCACTTTAGCTCGTCTAGCTTTTCTTTTGAGCAAGCTTTTCGCTCTATCCTTCCTCACAACCATCGCCAGGGATGGTAGGAGCCTAGGTTAGTAGTTACTGCCTGAATGTTGAGGGTTTTCCCAGAATCCTACATGCCACCCTGCAGAAGCTCAAAGTCAAAGATCATCCCGAGTATGAGGGCCATGAGTATGAGAAGCATGGCACCGAGCGGTGTGAGGTTACCATCTATATTGGGAAGAGTGAAGAGTTCCCCGATGTCACTGAAGCCTGTAATGTGACTACAACCGGGTTTTGCTTCATCGACACCTACCAGGTTGTGGCCCATAAAGCCTTGTGGTACCTTTGCCAGATCTATGAAGAGCCCATTGCCCGTACCCCCATGAGGTTCTTTCCACCTTTGGAAAAGAATCAATGGGCAGGGAGGGCTCGCATGGAGGCTTTGCAAGGGCGGTATGTACAACAAAATAGTTCTACCATGGTGCATTTGACCACGTACCTGCTTGCTCTAGATGATTAATATGATCGGCAAGCTTCGGAGCTGCGAAAGTGCCTCCGACAAGCCGAGGAAGCCGAAATCTTCTCCCGGATGCTCCAAGTGCAACTTGCCGAAAGCTCATGCCAGTACGGCAGCCGTGGAGAGTCAGGAGACTACCATGTCAGAAGCCCTAAAGGAGACTGAGGATCGGCATGCCCATCAGTTGGGAGAAGCCTATCTGGTCACCAGGGCCAAGCGGAGGACGCTGGCTGCTGAAAGGCATGATTCCTCGATCTTGGAGGGGATCCCTGTCCACCCACTAGAAAGAAGGAGAACTGGTGTTGTAGTGCTGCCAGCACCTCCACCCTCAGAAGTGTCAGAAGTAGAACCCTTGATTCCTCTCTCTCAACCGCTGCCTAGAGAGGAGGCAGATCCATAGCCAAGGTAGTGGAAGAATTCGCCAAGCCTAGGAATGAAGATGCATGGTCCAGAGTAGATTAGTTGCCTTAGGATGATGTACCCATAATAGTAGTGCTTTTCGTCGCTGTCCTCCGGTATTGTACTCTTGCCGTTGTTGTCATCCGTAGTTGTTGAGATCGTCCACCGTAGGGAAGGTGGATGTTGTGTTGAGATGGGGAGAGTGAATGCATGTATGATGTACCCATATAAGACTGTTGGAATGTGCATTTTGTTTATTTCATTGTGTTTATTGCGTCCATCTGCCCTTAGGTCTCAGTAGATGTGCTTACGGTTTTCAAGGGCAATGTTAAGTGGGTTACAAGAGAAGTTGCCATTCAGATACCAGCAGACCAGTCGTGATTGGAGAACATTGGACACTGTATCGACTAATTGTGGATGTCCCAGCAGAACACTTGAATCTCCTTAAATCAAATCCATCGTTGGATTTGAACTTCCTTGTCCCTTGTTGTGAAGGGAACCCTTGTCGTTCGAATCTTCCCTTGCAATACTCCTCTTATTCTGTGGTCTATGACCCCACCGCCTTCATGGCGTGTAAGTTGGTAGTAGTTGCCTAGGTAATAGCTTATGGTGCCATGACAAAACCGAGGGCCCCTGTGGAACAGCTGCCATATGGTGACGCTGCTTGGCACGCGTTGGTATCGAGGTTGTTGACCAAGTACCTTTACCAAGTTACACCATCATACCGTTTTGCTACAAAATATTCTTTTTGGAAATATTCAAGTGTTGAAACAAGAAATCTACAACGGGTTGATTCAATGATGTTCTCTCAAGGTAAGCAAGAGAACATGTGACATGGTCTTAGTCTACATAAAAGACGGATGTGGTCGAGAAAGGGAAAGAAAAAGAAGAGTAGTAAGGAAAGTTAGCCATGGGTAGTCAGGAGTGATTGTAAAAGCCTGAGTGGATGCCATGTCCCGAGCCCTGTGTTTAGTTGACCGCACTACGCATGCCGGGTTATTTCGCTGCGTGCCTTGCAAATGCCATCTGTGTCGGGCCCTTTAGCACCCGTTATAGTGTAGCCACGGCATCGTGCCACACTCGCCATCTTCGTGCACTGTGCGTTTATCTTTTCCCCAACATCCGGTCGGCTCTCTACCCCCCACGCCCTCATCCCCATACCGGACCCCACCTTTTTCCCTCCCTTCTTTCTTCTTTTGGGGACATGGTCGCCCGCACGCTTGCCTCGTCGAGCGGACCCCTCTCCTCTCCTCTCCCTTATCCTCTGCCCGCTCACGTAGGAAGTGCACCATGGTCGACTTTATCTCCACAGCATGAACCGTCTATGTATCCCATCCACGTCGTCTCCACTTCCGGTTCATTGCGCCCCACCTCTGTTCACCACTATAAGATGCCCTTGGTCCTTGCTCTTCTTCTTCATCCCATCCACTTGAATCCGACGCAGAGCTACGAGTCCCAATCGACATTGTGGAACTAGGTTCGTTAGTTAGAGGTGATAGTGTAATCTGAGAAGAAGAGGGATCTGGTTTCGTCAAAGAAGTTCAAGTCTACCGTTGGTTAGTTTAGTCTTAGGGTTCACGATGTTTGACTTCTCAGTTTCCTGTTTCTGGATCTGTTGGTCATATGCCATGTTTTGAATAATTATTATCTTGTTGTTTCTCCATTGCCCTCGTCTATCCTGACTTCTGGATTAAGCCTTGGTTATACTAGGTTGCTCTTAACCTTGTATCCCTAAATCCCTGTGTGGTTTAGCATTCGAAGTCGTGTAATCTTTCGTGTAATTTCTGATCTACGTAATGTAATCGTGTTTCCCCTCTTCTGGTTCTTGCTTCGAATCTCGGGACGAGATTCTTTTTAGGGGGTAGGTTGTAACACCTCTGGTGTTACGAGCTTGCTTACAACCTAAGTTAATGCCTAAGAGTAATTAGTAAAACAAATTTTCAGTTTAAAAGTTTGAAGCACATGGAATTATAAACGAATCTTGTGTGACTCGCTTTCGTAAATAAAATGAGCAAATAAGTGTCGCTAGTCAACTTGTCTCGGTGCTTAGCAACTTTTAAATAATCTTGCGGACAAAAGTTGTTTATGGCTTGTTTTGTAAAAGTATGAAGAAAGCGCTTAAAATGTCTGATAGCGAATAAATTGCGAATGGCTTGTTCTGTTGGATTGAGCATGAAAACAATTTTTATAAACAAAAAATTGTTGAAAGTAAAAATTTGCTAAATAATAAAACCTTAGAGCTTTAGTTATGCTTGTAAATGCATAAAGTTGTTTTAGAAAATGAATTTTTGGAAATTAAAATAATATAGAATATAAATAGGAAAAATCGTATCATCAGTAAGATATGAACATCGTGAATATGTTGGTATGCTTATTCGAGTGCCAATGTAATGTTGTTAGTTTTAAAATAATAACGAAAGTGCCGCTGGCCACTCAGCTCATCTACCTCGCCGGTACGACGCGCGTGTTATGAGATAGGACCGAGCTTGCTGGCCTTGCTAGCTGCTTGCTTCCCCTCCCTCTGCTGGTCTTGCCATGTTTGCCTGGCGGTCGTCTCATGCATTCACATGCCTCATCTCAGCCCGGTTGGCACATGTCTTACTTTGTCCTTGCGGTCGCGGTTTGTGGAGAAGAGCTTTTGTTAATGCAACAGAGCCCGCATCCAGAACAAGTCCACCTCACAAAGGCGTTAGATAGTGAACACATGGCTCTGCTCCTACCCTTGCCGTGTCTACTCCCTTTCCTGTGCAAGCATAGGCATGCCTCTACCGGCCACGCTGCGCCGTCCCGTCCTGGCCCCGCGTCCGTGCTCTGGCGCGCGTACGACAGTTCCCTCCCTCGCGCTGCTTCCCATCTCTTTCTTTTTCTACTGCCGAGGAGGATGTGCCCCAGCTCCTGCCCGCCCTACCCGCTGCATTGCCCCTCCCGAGCGTTGCCTCGCTGTCGTTTGCTCCAGCGCCTGCTCCTTCGCCCTCCACTCCGTCGCCGTGCCACACCACCGCTGTGGTCA